ATGAATTACACAAGTATCAAAGTTCTTGATAAAGAAAAACACCTTTCCAAACGTTTATTCCTGGAAATGTCCCACATTTTCATGAATAACAACTGTATCAACAAAAAGACAGATGTTAAACAACTGAGTGTCATTTACTCATATTTGCTAAACTGCGAAAAATTGGAGAACTTACATATCTCCCCAAATTTCAACTCTTCACAACCATAATTAGAATCTGTGTTTTGGCCGATTCCACCAGTAAATTTCATTCCACTCAAAATATAATAATTCTCTCCTCACGATTTATTAATAATTGTTAATTTAAATTCCCATTAATAATAATATAGTTTATTCAACTGCCTCTGGTCGGTTTAACAAATTCTAACATAAAATTCTGAAAATCTCATCATCTGAAGTGATTTGGCAACGTTTTGGCACACGCCCACAATTCGTTCCATCTTTCAATACTGACATTGACATCCTTCGGCCTTCTGTCAAAGGGTTTCATGTCACTCATCATTCCATGACCACTAATTTGTGCAATCTTCAAGTGGCTTCACGATGTAATGCTCTAATTTTTTAAATAATTTTTAATCTGTTTTTAACTTGTTCTTGTCATATTTTATATAAGTTTGACTATTGTACAGTCTATCCAGCTCTCACCATGTTACTGGACGTTTCCCTCATCCTATACGTAAACAACAATTAGCAACATCCTCACATACTACTGTAAGTTGAGTCAATTTAAATTCATTTTACACCTTTGTTGCTACTGTTATCATTGTAATTGCAGCTCCTGATGATGATGGCAAAGTCCATTGAAAGCTAGAGAGAATTAAAAAAAGTATAAAGAGTCCTCTTTGCTTAAATTTTGTCGAAGTACCCAACAAAAGGCGGAAGCTTTAATTTTTCACCTAACTGGTCTAGACGACAATGACCACGTCTCAAGTTATATATATATATATATATATATATATCTTGAGACGTGTTCATTGTCGTCTAGACCAGTTAGGTGAAAAATTAAAGCTTCCGCCTTTTGTTTGTTTTGTGCAATCATCAAGTGGCTTCACGATGTAATGCTTTCATGTTTTTAAAAAAAATTTTAGTCTGTTTTTAACTTGTTCTTGTCATATTTTATATAATTTTGACCGTTGTACCATCTATCCAGCTTTCACCATGTTACTGGGCGTTTCCCTCATCCTATACGTAAACAACAATTAGCAACATCCTCACATACTCCTAAAGCTAGAGAGAATTAAAAAAGTATAACGAGTCCTCTTTGCTTAAATTTTGTCGAAGTACCCAACAAAAGGCGGAAGTTTTAATTTTATATATATATATATATATATATATATATATATGTGTGTGTGTATATATGTATATATGTGTATGTATGTGTATATGGATATGTATTAAATGTGAGATGGCAAACTGACGACTTAAGCCTAACCGACTTATACATATATACGAGTATATTCTGGTTTCCTGATATCTATTAATCATGTTTATAGTTTTTTTTTCTCTCAACTTAAAGCACCTTCCTCTTTTCTGTGTCCGTTTTTTTTTGTTTCACTTTATGGCACACAGACTATGTAAATAATTAAACCGTTGTACTATGTATTGCTCTCTAAAATTATTATCTGATTTTTTCCTGTGAAAAAACAGATGCCGTCATGATATTACTAGTGAAAATGTTAATTTATTGTATCAGCATGTATGATCAACCATTTTATTTTTAGTCTAATGGTCTGTGGGGAATTTATAAAATATGACGAGTTAGTACTTGGAAACTTGGGGAAATCACATTATTTTTTGAGCTCCAATCTTTAAGCCACCAGCTATAATTCCAGACGAATAACTAATCAACAGTACTGATAATTTTAAAGGCCGTTGGCCGAATAGAATATCTTTCCGAATACTCGAGAGCAAAACGCTTAGTCGGGACAAATTTAAAACAAACAACGAACCGCTAATCGCCTAGCGACTGGCAGAGAACTCAAAACTTGCCTCCCGCAACTCCGGACGAGGGAAACGTTCCGAAAGGCTCAGACGCAAATGCAGATGGATTAATCTGGAGGACAAACAAACTCCAAACGGCAGAATCGCGATATCGGCCAAGGAGGATATCGCTGCTCGAGTCGGAGGTTGAGTCTAATGTACACATTCTCATAACTTGGAGTTTAGAGTACTTGGAGCACTGGCAGGAGCTAATACAGTTGTTAATGCCAAAGCTCAGCATATACAATACTCCCCAGCAACGCAGTTTCCGACTATACGCATGGGTGACAAGTGACACTAACGGGAAAAAAATTGAAATGTATTATTATGATTTCGATTCCATTCATATTCAATTTATATGTGTATAAATATATATATATATATATATATAAAGCTTCCGCTTTTAGTTGGGTACTTCGACAAGATTAAAGCGATTAGGACTCTTTATGCTTTATTAGTCTCTAGCTTTCGATGGGCTATGCCATCATCTTCAGGAGCTACAATAACATTAGGAAGAAATAGCAACTATTGTGCAAAATGATTTTACAATAGTATGTGAGACTGTTGCTAAATGTTAATAGAGGTTAGGTTGAGGGAAACATTTAGTAACCTGGTGAAAGCTGGATCCATGGTACATTCGTTGAAAATAGTAAAAAACGCACACAGATGTATATCAGGAACACATAATAATAATAATAATAATAATAGTAATCGTCTTTATTTAAACTGTACAATTTTATACAGAGAAACAAGAGTTCCATATGGTGGCGAAGTTTAGCAACATGCTACTCTTACACTTAACCACCCATGCAAAAAAAACAAGTTGTTAAGTAGCAGATATCAAACAAAATATGCATACACATGTAAATACATACATATATACATACATATGTATATACATACATACATATACACACAGATATACATACATGTTGCACCAAGGTACATGTACACAAGCGAAGTGAAGAATCATTTAACAATATTTCTATAGCAATTTCTTGAAGCAATTTAAGGACATGGTTTTGAATTCAGGACTCAAGGCATTGTATAACACTGAAGCACTGTACGTGAAAGTACGCTGGAATAAAGTTGTGGAGTGAATAGGTGTAGTTATCAAATCTGGAAATCTAATATGTCTATGATGAATATTACGCCTAAAGATCAGCTTTTCTCTTAAGTATATAGGTTTTGACGTAAGTATTAGTTTATGAATGAAAACAAGGTAATGATATTTGACAATATGTTTTGTTATCATCCAGTTTAATTCAATAACACTACTAGAAACATGGTCGAAGCGCCTTAAACCGCAGATGAACCTAGCACAATTGTTTTGCACAATTTGAATCCACTTTCTAGTAACAACATTGAGACACGGATAATATAAAATATCACAGTAGTTAAAAATCGGCATAACCAAAGATGAACACAGTTTTTTCCTTAGCTTATAATTGAAAATTGCTTTATTTTCATATAGTGATCTCAGTATCAAGTAGGTCTTCTTCAGAAGATTTTTAACATGACTGGTGAATCTAAGTTTGAAATCGATTACCACGCCAAGAATTTTAACCTCGTCAACCGGGTACAGTCTTTGAGATCCAATTTTAATAGTTAATTGACTTTTAATTTCTTCTCTCCTACGATCCGAACAAAAAACAATAGGCTGGATTTACCAGGATTTATTGACAGGTTGTAGTTACTCGAGAAGTCATGCACTTTTTGCATATCATGGTTCATTGATGTCTATGCCATTTCCATATCATCAGTATCAAAATAATGGACCAGTTGAGTATCGTCCGCAAAAGACTGGAGTTCACAAAAACTCACAGAATTAGGCAGATCAGCAATATATATTAAAAACAACAAGGGACCCAAAACAGACCCCTGGGGGACTCCAGACGAGATTTCTAGAAAACTAGATTTATTGTTTACAATCGATACACACTGCGATTGATTTGATATATAATTTCGAAAAAAGTTCAATGCAATTGGATCTATGCCATAATACTTCAACTTTGCTATTAACAACTCATGATTTATTTTGTCAAATGCCTTGGAGTAATCGATTGACATAACTGCTACGCCCATTTTTTTATCAAGTGCTCTAATAACCAAGTTTAAGAGGGAAGTAGTAGTACTGAAAGATTTCCTAAAAGCAGACTGATTAGATGGGATGATATGTTCCTCTGCATAATGCATTAGTTGTATGTGGGCTGCCTTTTCAACTACCTCCGATAAACAAGGTAATAGGCTTATAGGTCTTAGATCAGCAAACTCATCTGGATTTGATTTTTTTGGAACTGGTACCACAATTCTTCGCTTCCAAGTTTCAGAGAAATAACCTCTTTCAAGGCAACTATTAGCAAGGTGGGTGATGTAGATGAGAGTAACAGTAACATCACAACGGATTAAAAATATTTGGGATGGAAGTTACAATTATTAACATATTACATCGTGAAACAACCACTTGATGCTGCAGAAGGTAGTGTAGGACAGGAGTCTCGAGATTGTGGAACAATATACCTGATGAGGCTTTTCCCAGTTTTACTAACCTTAGCTCAAAAATCGGATTAACAAAGTTTCATCAAGCTCATCCTAACAGCAGCGGTGCCATGGTATTTAGGCTTCTTCCTACGCGACTGCTTCGGTATATAAAAAGCATGAAATAGCGCTGTACACGGTTCATCGAGCGGACCGAAGCATTATTACTATTATTAGATAAAATAAAAATCTTGGAAATCCATGGGTAACACTATTGTGTTTTACATCAGACGATACGCCACTGTTTACATTCCCGGATTATATTCGGAATCGACTGTTTGGGATCCGGGGGATTTTAACAGTTGAAAGGGGGGTACGAGGTGAAGTGGTAAGGGGCGGCCAATGCTATTGTCTATTGTACACTAGGACTGAAATCCGATAGAGAACCTAATGTTGAGTGCCATGAACAATCCTGTCCTATGCAGGACGTTATTGATAGCCGAAACAACATGGAGCGTTTCCTATAACACAATACAACTTACAGAAACAACAATGATGGCAAGTGGACTAGTCGAATTACCGAATCCTGCTGATTGTTTTTTTTGAAACTGAGTTTGCCTGAAATAAATGGTTTACATTTATTTCACAAGAATATTGCAGTTTATCCTCGTACCTGGTCCGTTTAAATGTGTGTGAAGTTTCCATATTTTATTGAAAGATAATTTATTTAAATCCTATGGATTTCGCGTTGGAAGAATCGGACAATGTGGTTTTATTTTTTTTGTGTATTCCGATAGTACGTGACGTGACCATATCTTCATATTGAACTGTTAACATTACAGAATAAAGATTATTTCCCTTACATCTGATGGAAGCCTAACATCCATTGTAGGGACAGGGGCACATTCTAGCCCATGTCATCTACCGCAAATCTTAATTCTTAGTTCATTTATTTAAGAACATTTACAATTTTTACAAGGATGGTGGTAGGTATAACGTATTTTTCGCATAGTTTACAGGGTGTTTCAAAAATATGCACACACCCACGTATCTAGCGGGTGCTAGAAAACATTTTGATACGAAGGTTCTTGTAAATCAAATGCCGCATCTAGTAATGATACTGGATTTGACGTTGACATTCACCATCACGACAATTTCAAGGGCAAGTTGATTTTTTCAAATAGGAGCCCCCAGTTTTGATTGCCGAAATGGAAAGCCTATAAAATTTCCTTCTAGATGGTGAAAATATCGTAGGAGCTAGAGTTACATCAAGAAGTTATTTCAAGATCAACTGTTGGTATTTCATGGAATGTTATGAAACAGCGAATAGCTGGAAAAAGAAGACTATTCACGAAAAACGTTCAATGCAAAAATTGCAGAACACCCAACGCCACATCTGATGGTGACCTTCATTCTGACCTTAGTTATGATTTTGAAGGTCAATTCAAGGTCACATTGAGTTTTTCACATGGTAACCCTCAATTTTGATCCCAACGCTGAAAATGGAAAAAAATATCATATTCAGTGGTTTAATTATCGAAGGTAAAATCACATCTAGAGGTTATAACAAGCTCAGGTACGACCTAACCATATTACCCCCATCCTCTGATCATGCGAGTAGTTAATCGATCACTATCAGTCAGACTATCCTCGGACGATCCATTTTTAATTAGAAAGACGAATTCTTTAAGCAACAGAGCATCGTGGATGTCTAGAGAGGCGACTCGATGGGTCTCAGAAATAAAGGCGATGTACATAAAAAACATAAACCGTTTCTACATTGATAGGTCACGTCGCTTTGAAAGTCAAATAAGAGGATTACGCCCGATGCAATTGCTGGAAGCATTCAGTTTTTCTAGTTGAAAATGGATCCTCCGAGGGATCGTCTGACTGACTGTGATCGAATGACTATTCTCATGATAGGAGGATAGCGGTAATTATTAGTTCGGTTAGTGTAATTCACAAAAATATTTCATTTGGCCTTGAAATAACTGTCAGGTGTGATTTTACCGCCGTTAATTAAACCTAAACCTAAACAAAGGATTTTTCTCTATTTCCAGCGCTAAGGTCAAAATTCATGATTTCCATGTGAAAAATCGATTTGACCTTAAATTAACCTCCAAGGTCATAACCAAGATTAGACGGAAGATCACCATCAGATGTGCCGTTGGGTGCCCTGCAATTTCCGCATTAAGTTCTTTGATATTCTGTTTTTCCAGCTAGCCGCTGCTTCGCAGCATTCCATGAAAGAGCAACAATTGACCTAATAACCTCTAGAAGTACTTTAAGTCCCTTAATATCCATACCGTTAATATTTTTTTTTATTTGGCGAACTATTTCTGCAATAAAAAATTGGGGTTCCCATTTCAAAAAATGAACTTGCCCCTGATAAGAACGTTTAGGTGGATGTCAGCGTCAAATCCAAGAGCTTCAGTAGATACGCAATTTGATTTCCTAAAACTTTTCTATTCAAAGTTTTTTTCTAGAACCCTTAGTTTTCGAGATATTTGTGTGTCCATACCTTTGGGACATTCAGTATAGTACATAATCGTGTATGCTTTAGTACCTAGCGAATTTAATAGCTGCATGTGCTCAAAACTTTGGGATTTATGTACATAAATTATTCAAGTAAATATTAACAATATTGATTAGTACATAATCAATAAGCTCTGACTTGAATATTTATAAAAATACAATATTCAGAAGTAATTTTCATATAATATTCTAAAATAAATTCATAAACTGAGTGTACATATTTCGCATAGATACACAATTTACATTGCTTTACGAAAAGATGTTGGGTCCTGGTGTCTCTAATGTTTGAGTCGTTTATTGATATTTCTATGGTTCATTGCTAACAATAGATCCCGGTGGCTTCTACATCTTGTATTATATTGATGATTCACATATAAAATTATATTTTTAATTTGATGAACATATACAGCAAGTATGAATAAGGATCTAACATTGAATATTTCTTCATTGAATAATAAAGATGAAGGATACTATTTTTCTTTTTTATAAATTATTTTCAAAATATTTTTTTTAGTAATAATATGTACAACCTACACTAGAATTCCTTGTCGCATTGGTGATTCAATTAGTGATTTATATATAATCAACAATACAATTTTTGGCCGCATATCCCGCAAAAGACAGAATTTATGAATTTATTTGCGAATATTATTTTTTTATTTAATATATATTTGTCTTTTATTATTCCTATATGTTTCCTAAGATGTCAGTTTCAAAATTCGGAAAAGAAATTTTAGGAAGTGACGGTATATCGCTTAGGAGCCACGTCCTCCATATTATAAATTATTGTCTAATGAACGGATTATTTCCTGAATCGTGGAAAGAATCACTAATATTGCAAAAAATAGTAATCCCACATCATCTGATTTGAGACCTATTAGTATTCTACCTGGGCTATCTAAATTATTAGAGAAGGGCATGTACGCTTAAATAAATAATGAATATCTATCGGAAACTCAAATATTACCATCAGTACAATGTGGTTTCCGAAAGGGTTACAATACTGCAGGTGCATTGTTGGAGCTTACAGACAACATTGTTAGAACGTGGAATCAGCATATGATAACAACACTAGCACTTCTTGATTTTAGTAAGGCATTCGATAGTCCCAATCATCGTGTGTTACTTGATAAATGTAAATTTTACGGTTTTTCCAGTTCTTCTGTAAGTATGATGGGTAGTTGTTTAGTTAGTTGCTTCCAAAGAGTTACTATCGATATGGATATGTCGCCTAAATGTGCTATTTCATCTGGAACACCCCAAGGTTCTGTACTCGGTCCATTATTATTTAATTTATATATCGCCGACTTGCACATTTTTCAAACATTGTAGTATTCAAGTTTTTGCTGATGACTCTCAAATTGCTGAATATGAAATTAATGAAGATATAAAATTAATTAGTGCATATGCAAAAAATCATAACCTCAAACTAAACCATTCAAAATCAAAAATGGTCAGTTTTTCACCTAAACCTTTTAGAAATTATGTTAAAGACAACTTCAATGTTAGCTTAGATGGTGCTACTATCGAAATTAAAATCAATCAAAAACCTGGGAATTCTTTTTGATGAGTGGCTCAAGGTCATACCTCATGTAAACAAAGTTACTAAAAGCTGCTTTCCGATCCTACGTCAATTATATCAGAATAAACAAATTCTCGATTATCAAACTAAAAATATCTTATGCGAATCATTAATTATGTCCAAAATCAATTACTTGATATAGTTTGCAATCCATTTTTAGATACAATAACTCTTTCACGGTTAAATAAAATATGACCATATAAGCGGTTTAAGAGACTTGGGATGGTTGAAGGTGAATATGAGCTACACTTATTAACTTACATTCATGAGCTCTTGCTTACTTCGATACCCTCGTTTTTGAAGAACAAGCTGATCCCTAGAAATTCAATTCACACAAGAGACATACGATTTACTGAGACGCTCACAATGCCTCATCACAAAACCACATCCTTTCAAAAGCGCTTCGCATACAACGCGATAACGCTTTATAATGAAGTACCTCAGGCATTAAAATCAATAAATTACAATGACTTTAAAAAACAAATAAAAGAATTCATTTTAGAAAAGTATTCAACTACATAGTTTGTCCACTCACTTCGCATTTTTTTTCCTTTTCTGTGTACATTCACATGTATAATTAAATTTTTATTATTTACTATTAGTATTTAGTAAACTGCGCCTTTTAATAAAGAGAGGATTATTATTATTATTAAATTTCACAAAAATCAGGTCTATTAAGAGCCCGTTCCCACTTCAGTTGGCCCAACTATTGAAATCTTAGTTTTTTTCTTATCAAACACAAATAATGAAAATGTGTTATAGGTTTAAAATATTAATAATGAATATTTTGATAATATATAGTAGAAAACACACAACTTTATCACGCCCTAATCAAATTTGCAGCATAAAAATAACACATGTTGCAATTACAGCATATCAACATATTTTCATATCAATGCAAAATAAGTCTATAACGCATAGGTGGCTGTGAAAAATAAAAGCCATGACAATTGTTTTTATTAATCACAGTTGTCAGAATATGTTTAAAATAGTTTTGGGTAGTTAAGGTTTTCAAAATGGGTAGAGGAAAGGTTATTAGTGAGAAAATTCAGTTACTGATAATTAAATTTTTTAATTCTGGAAATCAAACTCAGAAATTGCAACTTTGTTAGACTTATCGCGGTACAGTGTGAGAAATATTGTTAGAAGATGTAACTGGTTAAGCTACGATATGTGAAAAAAGTAATATCACAAATGCCGACCGAAGAGCATTAAGAAGAATAATCGTAAAAAACAGGCGTGTCAATTATTTACAATTAAGTGCTCTGTGGAGTGACGCTGTTGGAAGGAGATTTTCGAGGTCCACAACTCATAGAGAGGCCCACAAACTGGGATTCAGCACTTGCAAGGTAAGTTTTCTTATAAAAAAAAGTGAAGTAAAAACCCTAAAGTTGCACAACTTGTTTATAGACCAAAGAAAAGCCAATATTAACTCCACTGCAAAAGCAAAATCGGCTTAGATGGGCTAAAGAACATAGACAATGGACACCTCAACAATGGTGTGCAATACAATGGAGTGATGAGGCCCGATTCGAACTTGGTGTTGGTGACAGTCGCAGAGTTATTCGCAAAAAAATGAAACATTCCATGTTGACTGTCTGAAGAGAAAAGTGAAATTTCCAGCATCCATTATGGTCTGGGGCAGTATGTCATCAAAAGGAGTAGGAAAACTTCACTTTATTGATGGAAATGTGGATACAAACAAATATTTGGCAATTTTAGAAGAATCTCTTTTACCAGTGCTGGAAGAATGTTTGACATCCGGCCAAGATTTTGTGTTTCAGCAAGGTGGTGCAGCGTGCCATACCTCAAAAAAGGCTATAAAATGGATGGAAGAAAATAATGTACCACTTTTGAAATGGGTTTCTAGCAGTCCAGATCTGTCACCTATTGAAACTTTGTGGCACGGGATGAAAAAGGTTCTACGACAACATCCTGCTCGTACAATCACCAAACTGAGACCAAAGCTTCAAGAAATATGGGATTGTTTCACACCAAATTTTTGCCAAAACTTGGTTAACACTATGCCCCAAAGAATTTCAGCCGTAATAAAAAATGAAGGTGATATTACCCAATGGTAATCTTTCAATTGTTGCTTTGTTAACTTCGCGCATTTATGCACACATTATTTATTTATTCAGATGTTCTATTAGTTATAGGTCTAAGTGATTTCAAATATGTATTTTTTACAACTAGAGTGTATCTAAAATGTTTTTGAGAAAATAAATTATTTTATAAGTAAATAGTTTCGTCATGTTTAGTTTATAAAGGCATATTTTGGTACAAATCTTGAAGTGGGCCAACTGAAGTGGGAAGGGGCTCGTAGTTTGTGAATTAATGTATGTGATAAGTGAAATTGGTCCAAGAACAGTGCCCTGTGGAACTCCAGTTTTAATATTCAGAGGTTCGCTGTAAGATTCTCGGAATTTAACAAATTGATTTATTTTAGATAGATGATTTGTAGTGCAGGAGCTCCAATACCATAAGTATATTAAGTACGAGTAGTTTATAATGTGGACCCGTATCAAATGCTTTCTCTATTTCACAGAAAAAAAATGAAAGCACTCAGAATATACCTTTTATGTGCAAAACATTGACATTCCGTGAAAGTAAAAATTTTGAAAAATCTAATTACATTGTTTGACTGGGACTTACCTAAATTTTGTATTTCGCAAGGCAGTACAACGGTGTCCCCAGTCACGACTTTGAATGTGCTACCTCGAGAAATAAACCTCGGTGTTGGATGATTGCTGAAGACAGAACCTGCAAAAATGAGGGACTAAAATCAAAAATGCGATCATTAGCACATTGACGGTGGAAAGACCATGTTTATGTAGTGGAATTGATCAACGTTAAAAAGGGATCTGAAAGATCCTAGCGCCATCTATGTAACAGCATCAGAACACAAAAAATGACATCAACTAATTTCACTCTACTTGCCACGCTATGTTGTCATTAGTTCGTAAAGGATTCTGTTTGACACAAGTTAGCCCTTCTGAGTAAAAAGTTATAACAAAAAATTAAGTGACCTTCCTTCTCCCCCATGAGAGAAATTGCTACAGGTGCAAATGATCGTTGCGATGAACAATCCCGCGTTAATGATGATATTGGCCATGCACAGTGCACGCAAGCCACAGTAGTGTGGAAGCGATTGTCGACTGTGGTGTACGACCTCGGACGATGAAGCTTGTCCATCTGAGGCGCCTATGGTGAGTGAAATATGCCTAATATGTGCGAAGAACTCCTGGGATTGGAGGCATATAAATATACAAACTATAATTTTCAACCCCTACAAAAGTTTTTTAAAAAATGATCAAGATCGTCTGAAACGTCAAAAAACCAATTTTGAGCGATTTTCAAAAACTACAAAGTTTTTGCCTCCAAGTTGCCCACATCGACACTGCCTCGCAAAATGAACGGGTCAAACAAAATTTTGTTCAAATAAAATTTTTGGTAACTTTTGAATCTTTGCCTCAATTTCATTAATTTTTTCGTCAAGTTGTAGGTGATTTCATTGTCAATATCAACTGCCGATCTTGCAAAAAAAATTGAAAATGTTTGTTGTTGTATAGGGTGTAAATAAAAGGTGCATTTTGGCCTAAATTTCTGAACACCTATGGTACCATGAACATCATCCAATCTTCAAGACCAAGCTGTAGCAGGAACTGTCCTTTCTCGAAGACCATGAAGTCTCAGAACCGATCTTCAACTGCGTTTGTTGCCCAGGTCTTCTTAAGTAAGAACCAGTTTCTTCAGATCGTTGTATCGCATCAAATACCGTACTGCGTGGAACGGCAAGCCTTTCTGCGATATACCGAATAGGAAGACCATCATCTTGTAAAGCTACAGCTTGCGCTACTTGTTGTGTCATTTTTGTTAAGTATTGCTTGACAAGAATCTTTTGGACATCATAAAAATGCTAACAGACACAGCCTACTTGGAACAATTTGTTACCCGGCAAAGCGTGCTTGAAACAATTTCTTGTTTATGGCTATGATTCGCATGATTTTCTTCAAAGCAGCATATATTCTTCAATAATTGAGATATTGACAAAAAACACTTTTGAGAAAAGTTGAGGCTTAAAATTCTCATACGAAGACACATTATTCAGTAATCCAATGTTTACAGAGGCTGTCCAGAAATTTAGGCCAAAATACACCTTTTAGTTACACCCTGTATAACAACAGACATTTTCAATTTTTTGCAAGATCGTCAGTCGATAATGATGGCAATGAAATTAGCTACAGCTTGACGAAAAATTAACGAAATTGATGCAAAGGCTAAAAAGTTACTTCAAATTTAATTTGTACAACATTTTGTTTGTGCGGTAAATTTTGCATGGCAGTGTATACAGCCAGAATCGTCAACCATCTAGCGGTCACATGGTGGCCAGGCTATTTACCGCGAGCTGAGATCTTTACAATTTCAAACAATAGCAGCTATATGCTCTCCGCAATGGTCCGTAGGTGGTAGGCGGTCTCAGACAGTCGAGCGTGGAGGTACCACCCGACCTATCTCTAAGGCTGGGCCTGAATGAATAAATGTCGCAAGCTCACGTGTTCCCTCCCTAAAGTCTGCTTGGTGGTCCAAATATAAAAATAAATACGTCCACAACCTATTTCAACCTTCAACAGTATTTTAACTTCTAGACAAAAATAAAGGACGTACTCAGCATGCAGACATCGGCACACCTTATACTATATGGCTGAGAGCATAAAATTCCACAATTCGTCTGGTGTCATAAAAGTTTCACGCTGCCGCTTGTCCATATAAATGCGATAGTCAAAAGCGTTTTACAGGAACATATTTATTATTGCTTCCGATGCATATGCTGCCCACGTATACGGGAATATAAACAAGGATAGTCTGAGAACACTTAAAGGAAGAATGTACACTCTATATAAGGTGTTGTCAGGAAAATTTAGGACCAGATTAAGTACGTAAAAATATGATATAGTTAATATGGACATGGGTCGAGAAATTTCAATGATGCGGAATGTTAAGCTTTATGTTTAGCAAAAAACTAAATGCCACTTTTTTGCATACACTATAGTTGTCTCAGAGCCACAGCGAATCGATTTGCAAAGTGCTTCTTAGGGTTTTTCGGTATGTTCATTAAAAAAATCCTTCTTGACTACTGCTTTCTATTAACCATAGCACTGCTTCAGAGATCCACCATTGAGACATGACACCAGATCCATCCATACCATATACAGGGTCCGGCAGAGAGGATGGACGGTTTTAAAAAAATCATAAAATAGTTAATTTTTACTTTAAAACAAATTTATTGGTGCTGATTCCATAACAAGGGAATAGCATTTGAGACAGTCAAGTGTGGAAAATCACATCAGGCATGTGGTGGTCGAAATCGTTGATGCAGTGCTGGAGGCGTTCTTGGAAGTTCGCGTAGACTTTCTCCAACATCGCTCTCTCAACTTGAGCGACTTCCACGCGAATTTCGCCCTTCAATTCGTCCAGAGTTCGGGGCTTGTTCGCGTATACTCTAGCCTTGAGGTGTCCCCATAAGAAAAAATCGCATATGGATAAATCTGGGGACCGAGGAGGCCAATGAACATCGCCAAACCTGGAAATGAGGCGACCAGGGAAGAGAGGGCGAATAACGTCCATGGATGCTCGGGCTGTGTGGGCGGTCGCCTCATCCTACTGGAACCACACACGTCGGATTGGAACACGTCGCCGTCGTAATTCAGGGAGAAAGAATTTGGTGATCATGTCGATGTAGCGCTCTGAGTTCACGGTAACATCACGACCATTACCGTCTTCGAAGAAGTAAGGGCCAATGATGCAAGTTTGCGATACAGCGCACCAAACCGTTACTTTTGGGCTGTGCAGCGGTCTTTCGTGTAACTGTTGCGGATTTTCATTAGCCCAATAACGACAATTCTGCTAGTTAACCATGCTGTTTAGGTGAAAGTGGGCTTCGTCACTCATAAACAAAATGAGGTTCTCATTTTGATCGATCAGTGCTTCCATCTCACGTGCGAAGTTCATTCGTTGTGCATAATCTCCGGGCTGTAACTGTTGCACAATGGCCAATTTGTAGGGGTGAAAGCGGAGATCCATATGCAAAATTCGCCTTACCGAACGATCACTAAGGCGAAGTGCAGCAGCATGTTTCCGGGCAGATCGAGTCGGACTGCGAAGAAAGACCTGTCGAACGCGTTCAACATTTTCAGGAGTTCGAACTGTTCACGGCGCTCCTCTTGGTCTTCTGTTGATCAGTTCACCACGCCTGCGAAATGATTCAACCCAACGAAGGATGGTGTTTCGAGAGGAAACAGCTCTATTCCGATGAATGTTGAAGTGGCGACGAAACTCACATCTTCTTGCAACAATTAGCTCGAATTACGGAGATTGCACTGTAATTATATTACCGATTGCTAAAACTTTCAAAAAGAAACTAGTGAGGAGTACTCGTGTAATTTTGCATGATTGAATATTTAACTACTAATAACTAAAGTCATGATTGGCGTAATTTATCTATCTTTGCTAACTACGAGTAGAAAACTAAAATTTAATAACAAATAATGTACTTACTTTTCTCCAGCACTCTCAAACAAAATAACACTGACTCACTATAATTTGTGTGATATACTATCTGTTTATATTTTTTAAAATATTTTCTTAGCACTTTCCTTTTCAAGATTCAAGAAACGAATAAACGTATTTGTCCCACATTCGTATTTATAGAGTCACGAATTGAACAAGTCATTGCAAGGTAGCGAAGCTCTGAGACTGCGACTCTCAGGTTTTTACAAGTTCAAAATGTATTGCGACCACAAAGCGAATACCAACATCCTAAAACTTACACAATTTTATAAACATATATAATAAGCTTTTAACTTCATAGGTACTTTTATAAATAATGTATATGTTTTGATATTATAAGATAGTATGATGTAAGTAAATAGGTACTATCAGTGTATTGAGATCCACTATCGTGGATATTCATTTCATGGACCCCCAAATTTTTTTTCGCTGACGTAGACCCCTTGCAGCTCGATATAGACCACTTTGTGAATCAATGGTCTACACAGTCATTCACATTTATATACAGGGTGTTTCGATAAATCCGTGGTGGGAAATGAACACCCTGTATAGAGGTGGGTAAATCGGATGCGTAAAGCACAAGTCTGATGTTTTTCGCTAAGATCTACGGGAGGCTACTTTTCTACTCTAAATATGAATTAAGCATCTTCGAAATCAGCTTCATAAATTACCATGCACCGAGTTTCTTTCGTTTACATTTACAATTTTTCAAAAAAAATTACCATATTTTTAAATATCAATCATCATAAGTTTCTTGGGTTAATCGGGTGCGTAGATCAGGAATCTCATGTCAGTTTGACGCTGATATCGATGGGGCAGACTTTTCTTGTTTCTAAATAGGGCTTCACTACACTCCAGTATTTTTTATGGCAATATTGAATAAAAATTTTCGAAATGCTAGCGTATTTTCCACGAATGTGATATTAGTTTGTCGCGGAGCTTTTTTATTCCAAATGTAGCCGTTTCTGAAAAGGTAAGTCCAATCTGAGAATATGCCCCTGTATGATGCCGACGCATTACAAGTCTGCAAAATAAGCCCATCGAGCTTCTGATCCCCTATTACAAATAATATATCCCGTAACTAAATAACATTCAGTAGCACTTCACAATTCACTTTGAAATTTCCATCTCCAACTATCATGTACTCCAAGTTTGATATCTATTACTGTTTATTTGATGATTTCGTTCCCGGT